TTCTGGAGAGTTCCTGGCTCTCTCTTTTCGGAATGGTGCTGCAGTGGGGCTTAAGCTTAAGTTGTGGTTGGGCCGGCCAAGGCCAGCAGGGTAGGGCCGGGGCTGCGCTGGTCAGGGCCAGTGCCAGAAAGAAAGAGAGCATGCCATGCACCCCCCTTAAATACATGAATTCACAGGGGTGCTGATTGGCTTGGCCCTGGTCAGAGGTGGGTCTGACAAAGGAAAAGGGGGAGCTTTTCAGGTTGCTTCTTAAAGGGCCATCTCCATAGCCCTTCCCCTGTTACCAAAGACGCAACCAAAAACCCCTCACAGAAAACCCAATACAGGCTGGTTTGCTTTCCCACAGGAGTGAAAGTGCAGAAGGCCCTCTGTGGAAGAGGGTGGCAAGGAAGAACAGGGAACTTGCAAGCATATTAGAAGAGCAGTGGACTGGGACACCAGCTGTGAGATTTCTTTTTCTTTCGGTGTTGTATTTGTTCAGCAGTGCAGGGGGGGAAAAACTTGTCAGTTCCAAGCCAGAGAGCAGGGGAAGTGTCACTGGTTTGACATCAAGGCAACACATCTCACAGTTGCTGTCCTCTTGTGCTCATACAGTGCAAGGATCAGTATGAGAAGATGTTGGAAGAGTTGAACCGCTACAACCCTCGCTACATGGAGGACATGGAGCAAGTGTTTGAGAGCTGTCAGGAAGCAGAGCGCAAGCGATTGTGTTTCTTTAAGGAGATGTTCCTGAATCTGCACCAGCATCTCAACCTTTCCACCACTGAAAGGTACCAGCCCTGACACAGGAGGGAAGTCTGCCAGCCTGGGGTGCCCTGGGCTCTGGTGAGGGGTGCCAGTTCTGGTGGGCAAGGGAGCTGCCTGCTTGCATCAGGCGGGTCTTGCTCCTTCCCCTTCCAGGTGTGCCTGAACTCCCATATGGTCCTTTCAGACTGACAGTGCTGGTGTCTGATCTTGGACAGTGCCAGGCTCCTCAGAGAGGATTCTGCCTCTGAGCCCTTTCTCTTCCACTACTGCCCAATGCTGTCTTCTTGGTGTGTTTCTATTCTGTTAAATACCTCCACATTACTATATGTAATCCTGGTCTGAGGAATGCAGCTCTGTTGCCTTCTAGTATTTAGAGCTATTATACCCATTCTGCCCTGAGTAAAGAGACCTTTTGTGAGAGAATGATAAGCCCGCAAGTTGCCCTTAAGTAGGGGCTACACTGGCAAAATGGATGCAATCAAAAATCTTCTGTGCCTCTGTACTTTTAAGGTGGAGACTACAAATCTGAGCTACCTCCCTCTCTGTGCAAGAATGTGCCAGGCTCTTTCAATGCATATTTGATGAGCTGTGCTGAAAGTTGGCTGATGTTAGCCACTGCCACACTGAACGAGCCTGTCCTGTTTGCCAGGCTGACCTTCCTGTAAGGGTGGCTCTGTTTTCCTAGGGCTGAACAGGTGCTGCTCCAGCATCCTTAATCCTGTAGGACTTTGGATGCTATTTAATTGTGTATGAGGTTATGTTCTCCTTTCCTTCTTGGCTTTTGGGGAACCTCTGAGGGACTTGGTTACTGATGGTTGTGTCTGTTCCTGGTCATAGCTTTCATGCATTGTATCGAGATCTCTACCAAGTCATCATGGCTGCAGACAACCAGGAGGACCTGAAGTGGTGGCGGAACACTCACGGACCAGGCATGGCAATGAATTGGCCTCAGTTTGAGGTGACGTAGCATTCTAGTGTATATTATTGCTATTTCCAAACATGTAGCTGCTTTACTGAAACTAGTGGATTGCTAGTCTTGTGCTGGAAAGACCGTGTCTTTGCTTGCAGGCTCAGGATGTTAGGCTCTTCTAAAACTTTTGTTGTGTTGCAAGCTGTTTGGTGCCCAAAGGGACATGTGCAACCCTGCCAAATTGCAAATACTCCAGCTGTCCTGCTGCAAGGTCAAAGAACAGGAGTTGGTCCTCGGGGCCTTGCAACAAGTTCCCGTTATAATTTTCCCACAGCTCCTCTTGTTGCACCTTAGGATTCAACAGGAGTGAGCCCGCTACACTAGCGAGACCATTTGGCTGACCAGCCTGGCCACAACTGAAGTATTATCTGGTGTCCTGTCCTTCTGTATTGGCCAGAAAAGATGCACAGAACTTCTGTATCTGAGTGGCTTGATGGTGTTAATTGCCCTTCCCCGAACAGGAATGGTCCCTCGAAACACAGCGGACAATCACCAAGAAGGAGAAGAGTGGCAAGATGGCTGACGATGTCACGCTGACCAGCATTTTGCCTGCACGGGATGGAGTTGTCTCACAGACCCCTCTGCAGACAAGGCAAAGGTAAGGGCTGAAGTCAGATACATCAGGTTAGGAAAAGTACAGTCCTGCCTAGGGTCACGAGTGAGTTGGACTGATAGGAGTGACGTCTTCCTTTGTCTTGTCTCTTGCCCATGGCCTTGCCTGTGCCACTCTGGAAATGACAGGGTAGAAAAGTGGGTTTAGGGTAGTTTTGGTTGTTGGTCTAGTACATACTGCCTCACAAAGTGCCTTCCTTGTAAGGATCCTTCTAGTAATGAGATCTGGCCTGGTCAGACTAATACTGTGTGAGATTTTGGCATGCATTTCCCCAATTCTTCTTCCCCACGGATACAGTGAGGAGAGTTGGGCATTGGCAGCTTTGCCAGTTAGCTGTACTGTTTTCTAAATGTAGGCATCAGATTCTGTTTTTCCTGGTGTGGTTCTGAGTAGAGCTGCTTCCCTTGCCAGGAAGCAAGCTGGAGAATAGGGAGAGGCTGAAGAACCTCATGTCCTACAGTTCCAGTAGCCAACCTGCTTTAAAATGTGAACTCTGGCCTGAGTGGACTGGGCAGAAAAGAATGGGGATACAGAGTAGTCTCAAAGCCACTGCTGTATTTCACAGTCTATTGGATTCAGGGGCCCTATTTGCCAATCTGCAGGTTTTCCTATCAAGAGGAGCAGAACAGCCTGGTCTATGACAGCCTGAGGGCACCCACCCATGTGAAGTTAGTATGGAATATAGCCTCTTCAGTGGTTTTTGGGTTCCAAGTGCCTGTCCTCTGCTGCTCTTCCCCCTCTGCTTCTGTTCCTGACTTGACAAACAGCCTTTCAGACGTGTCTCTTTGGGATGGGAGACCCTGCTTTTCCTGGCTGTCTTAGTTTTGGCTGGAATAACTCTGACAGCTGGGCTTTTCAGTTAGGACTGGCCTTTCTTGTGTGAGAGGGTCTGCTAGAGTAGGGTAAGGTCATGAGTGTGCATGTGTGAAAATACTCTGAGAATGAGTTACCCTCCTGGTCCTTAGAGCATTAGTGCTGGGATACTTTCAACCAAATCCAGCATCTCCTTGTATTTCTTCCTGTTCACCCTCACTTGGCTGTTGGTCCTCTTACACCTTGTTTTATAGCATAGCAGTCTCAGGGGGGAGTCAGGGTGGTGCACGATTCAGGAGGAGGTGGGTGAGAGATGAATCTACTAACAACCGTCTTGTCCCCTCTCTCCTTCCACATACAAAGCGGAGGGAAGGAAGACATTTCGGAGTGGTCAGATGACGACACTCCCAAGAAGTGCCTGGATGCCAATGGGCACGAGGAGGACATAAAGGTACCAGGAATACGGGTACGAGCGCTGTATGATTACACAGGACAGGAGGCTGATGAGCTGAGCTTTAAAGCAGGTACACGAGCACTAATCTCTTACTAACCTTTTGCTGTCTCCACTCGGGCTGACTGAATGATTGAAACACTCCTTAAGAACTGGATGTCCCCCTGAAAACTGATACTTATTCTTCTTCCCCTGGCCTTACCCATTGCCAGCTCCTCTGAGGTGGATGATACACTGGGCAGTCCAACCTGTTTGAGACTGAGTCAGTGAGGCCATGTGAAAAGAGACTGCCTAGGCCTGGCTCACAGTGTAGGGAGAGCAGATCCCAAGAGGTAAAACAGATCCTTCCTGCCTCCTCTTAAGGCACTTACTCTGCACTGTATCTTGAGACTTTATTAAATGCTTCTCCCTTGTGCTGTTGATATAAAAATTATGTAGGTGGTCTGGATTGTCCTTTGAAGTAACCAGAAGATAGATGCTTTGGGAGAAAGCTCAACTGACTGACATGTACTACTGGAGGCAGAATTCAATTCCCAAAAGCAGCCATGCAAACTGTTGCTCAAAATGGGTATCTTCAGAGTGGAGATCCTGGCTCCCAGCAGAGGATTGAGTGAGAGAGAATGCTGGAGCAAACAGACCCTTCCCCTTTCCTTCCTCCTAAAGTTAAATTTAGTTTGCGTGTACCATCTTCTCCAGCTCCAAGAGGACATCTGGATCTTGAGTGTCTCAAATCTTGCTCGTTTTGAGTCCTATATGGTACCTCTGTGCTAAACCTCTCCACAATACACCCCTTTCAAAAAGGCACTGAAGTCCTGTAGTAGCAGGAGCTTGTGTCTGAGGCCAGTATCTATGCTGCAGTGTTACCATACTAGTAACCTTACTAACATTAACTTGTTGCTTTAAAGTATCTCACAATATGGATGCTCTAGAACTTGACTCTGCTCTCTCTTTCCACCTTGCAGATGTAAGGAGGCATGACTGGTTAGTTTGTCATCCCTTTTTTGAATCTGCTCTAAGCAGCATGCACCAGTAGGGCTTAAGCTTAGCAGCAGCAGATTTTCTGAACCTCTGCCAGCGTGGGATGTGTTTACTGATGCAGTCACACCTCCCTCTCTGGCAGAAGCATGACCTTCCACTGATGGAGAAGGGGACCTTTCTGCCCTGTTCCAAAGTAGATGATACAGTGTGCTAAATGAGTTCCTTCTGTGCCTTGCTGGCCAAACCAGACACTCCATCATGGAATAGTCATTTTGGATCCTAACAGCCAGAGCTTAGCAGCCTCTTACATTTCCTTCCCACCTGCTACAGAGGAGCCACTAAGAAAAGAATCTCCAAGAACCTTCTGATCTCTCTGGCTTGTAAGCATGTTCCTCTGGGTGGAGGAAAGCAGGCAGAAATACAGGGCATGAAAATACTTATGATGTTGAACAGTAGAAGTGAAGCTTTGTCTCGTAAGTTCCTTGGCCTAGGAGATGGTACTGAGCATAGACACTGAAAAGGTCAGTAACTCTGGCTTTGATTAAACTGTTCAGTATCATTAAACCGTGCAGTATGACAGTGTGACAGGGGAGACAAGTGTGGTGATTCAGTCAGTAGGTTGTCTTTTTATCAACTGTTCTGAAGCTGGGAAAAATGCCATGCTGCCTTTCCCAAGGCTGCTTCCTAATGACTGTTTTTGCTTTTAGGTGAAGAACTAATGAAGATCAGTGAGGAAGATGAGCAGGGCTGGTGCAAGGGCCGACTTTTTACTGGCCAAGTTGGACTCTATCCTGCTAACTATGTTGAGAAGGTCGGATCATGATTGCTACTGCTCTGCTAGTGTCTCGCAGCCATACTGGCACCTCCTGCAGAGGTCACCGGGTCACTGCTGGCCCCAATCCACCTTTGCAGTATATCCAGCAACTTCTGGACTTTGAGGGCATGTATTCCATGTAACTAATGCTTCATTTTAAATGCCTAGACTTGTAGGGATTTTCTAATTAATAAACAAGGATGAGTAAAGACTTCTCTAACTGTGAGCACTATAGGAGTGCAGAAAGGAACAGATCCTTTTGACTTACACTCAGTGAAGGGAGATAAGTGACACATGCAACTCTTCAAAACAGAAAAAGGAAACTTCCTTGGCTTCAGTGTGCATGCATCCATAGGGTGGTGGGGTCTGCCCTGCCCCCAGGCTTCCTGCCCAAGGAACTCTGGATTTGCAGGGCAATAGGGAACTTCTAGTATTGCTTCCCTTTTTTGGCTCAGTCAAGCTGACTGGCAGAAATGTATTTATTCTCCCACATCTTTCAGAAGTCTTCAGTATCCTCCACCTGCAGGCTTGTTGGCTCCCCTGGTAAGGCAGCTGGTATAAGTGAAATAGCTTCAGCAACCTGGATGTCCCCTCCCACTACCTTCACATTTAGTGTAAAAACACCAGAAATTAATGATAGCGTAGCCTGGGGACAGGAGAAAGAAGCTTCTGTCTCATGATATGGCTGTCCAGGCCAATGGGTTGTGAACAGAGTGGCTCAGCAGCATGGAGTTGCCTCAGTGTTCCCTGTTCATAAACAGCACACAGCAGAGACCCTCTTTTTACTTCTACATATTCTTGAGTTACGCATGCTAGAAGTGCATTCTGCTTTGCCAAAGACCCCTATGCTATGATAAAGGGTAGCAGAGTGTGCAAGCTCCCTGCTGGCTGACACAACATCAGCTATAAATGGGTGACTCTTCTTGTGGTCCTGAATTGCTGCAGGTGTACCTGTGCAGCAGGGATGACCTATCAAAACCTCTTACCTGGCCTGCGTTTCTGCCCTTGAAAACCTCTGAGGCTGCTGAGACAAAGTGGGGTCCTGATCCTAGTGCTCTGCACATTCAAACATAAGGTCTGATGGACATGTTCTATATAGGATAAGCCCATGGGCTTGGAGGAACAAAACAAGGAAAAACTACCACTTTGGGAAAAACCAAACCAAACCAATGGTTTATAAACTGTTTACGTACTACATCTGTTTAACGTTGCTGTTGAAATGCATTGTGAGTTTGTAGTAGGCTTCTGTAGTGAAGTTCTTATTCTGGGTGAGCACATGTGAGGAACTCAGACTCACAAAACTCAGACAAGCCTGCACCACCCACACCAGGGCTGTTTCAGAGCTGTTTGGAAAAGGGGTGATGCAGATAAGGAAGTTTGAAGTCAAGAGGTGAGCATTGGGGATTAAATGACTGTAGAAGGCTCACAGCAGCTAGTGAACCAACATGGATGTTTAACAAGTATTGACTGAAAAGGAAGTAGGGATGGACAGCCTCAAACACTGTTAACTGCTGGGAGATTAAGGTATCACAAACATCTTGCTGCCTGCCAGACAGAGCAGAAATTAACCTTTTACAGCACACTGGATGCCTTGAAATGTAGTCTGCCACCAACAAAGAGATCTGACACTAATGCTATTCCATGCTTTTGTGAGACCACAGAAATGCATCAGCTGTTCAAAGGCCTTGCTCAAAGTAGCTGTGGTGCTGTACTTCCTGAACGGAGTGAGAGGGCTGCAAACTAATGCTAAAGCATTTTGTCTGGAGTCGGTAATGTCACTTCTCAAGAAAAGTGAAAGTATTCCCAAAAGGCAATTAAAGATCTACACAACAGACACTAAAGATGCCTGGATATAGCTATGAACTTACCTATTATTCTAGGTCCAATGTTTGAAGAAAGCTATAAGCTTATGGTGTGTTGGTGTGTAAGTGTTGGATTTCTTTAAAGATCCAGTCTCTGCTTCCAGTACTATGTCCCAGGTAAAGTATCATCAGTGTTGTGCAGTAATTGTGAGTGCTCCACTTACCCACAACTGAATGATTTGTGGCTGCTTTGTCCTAGCACACGTGTACGTGAAGAGAGCGTGTGCCTGCCAGGCATGTGAGGGAACACAGACACAGCCACTCAGGGCTGCAATGACCTGAGCTGTGCTATAACAAATACTGACATTTCCTTTGTTAGCCTGGATACTTTCAAACACTAACACCAGCCTTTCATGTAAGGTCAAAAAATTCTCGGAAGGGGGTTATGGAGGATAACATGGAGGCTTGACTTCAATTCTTCTGAGTTCTAGTCAGACTATAATTAGGGATGGAGTTAGGTGTGGCCAGAAGCTGCTATGAGGACAGAGATGTCCACTAGACAGGACCTCTGACTGCAGTACAGCCAACCCGAAATTCCACAGGACAAAGTCTGAACAGACTTGTTTGTCCTAGGGAAACACAACCACCTGATCAGCATGGGCTGCTTGAAGGTTTCCACAAACAGTGCCATACTGCAGCTTTTGTAAACAAGTTCCCTAAAGGAATGTGTACACATCAGAAATTCCTGCCAAAAGCTGAAGTAATGGACGGCAGACAGCACATCAAGAATGAAGAATTGCTTGGCGGGACTGTACCTCATAAATTTCAGTATGGCACTTACTCCTAGCTACCCAAAACCAAAGGGGTTAGTAAAAGAGAGGCTGTGTAGTAGAGAACCAGCTGGAGGGGAGGAAAAACAAAACCCGAACACATGTAATGATGCTATATTAAACTAATAGCTGTGCCTGGAGACACAGTTTTCCATAGAAGCAAATGAGGTTTTGTTAACCACAAAGGCTCTAGTTGAAACTTGTCATCCATGCCATGCCAAAAGTTTTGTGTGTGACGAGAGATGCTCACATGAACTAATTGCTGTGCTGAATTCCAGGCGGCCAGCAAAGCCTATTCTTCCCCCATGGCTTCTGTAAAAATGTACAGATGCATCTCTGTGCCTGATGGGCAACGCAGTGAAAACATTATCTCGTCATATTTTATTTTTTAACAAAGCCACTCCGTGTGGAAAGCTTGTACATCTGTGGCTGGCAGATAATTTAGTTCTGACATCTTCCTGGAAAAAAAATTCTAAAGTATCACACAAAGCTTGGATTTCCCGTTGGTCATGAATTTTCTAGGAAGAGGAAGTTAAAGATTCTCTATGACAGATCACACCCATTTCCCCAAAGCAGCAGCTGAGCTTGCTCAACCCATGAATGATGTTTCTGCCCTGTAGGCAAAATCTGGGTGGCAGAGCCCACAGGACAGCTGTGTTCTGTGATGGCAGCTGAGAGCTGCAGTTAGCACGTAACTCTCGGTGTCACTCCCATAGCCCTGCACGGAGCCTGGGGACGTTGGTGCTTCAGTTTACTTTCCATCCCATTTCCCCATCCCCTGTGTCCTTGTCCTGGCCAGTTTGCTTGGCAGGAAGAGCCAAGGCAGGTGTATGTGGCAGTCCTGCACAGAGACAACTCACAGCTGTTACAAACTGTCCTGCACTCCCTTTACTCCTGCGCTGTTTGCTGATCAAGCTCAAGGCCAACACCGCGCAAAGCTCAGCGCTGCTGCTTCAGCAGCTGGGGCTGCCTCAGTTGTGGCATTGTGCTTATGGGCAGCAGGCTGCAAAACTCCCCTCTGCTTGTGAAGAAAGCTGATGCTGGAGTTAAAATGGGCTTGAACGCTCAGATGGGTAGGTTATTGCTTCTAGGTAACTGCACAGAGACTGGCTGCAGACTGGTCATGGGGCTGAACCTTAGACAAAGCCAGTGCCACGTACTCCATCTTAACCCGTGGACACGTGGCTGGAAAATACCCACTACAGGGTGGTGGGAAAGGTTGTGCAAAATAAGAATAAGGCTGTGTGATATGAGGCAAAGTGTCTTCAGAGAGACCTTGCACCAAAAAAAGAAAAAGAGAACCAGGTAAAGACTTGCAAAAAGTATTGCACTGCTGTCCAGGTCCAGGCTACAAGGAGCTGGAAAACTCAAGGGCTGCAAGGGAGTGAGGCTGTTTACCAAGCTACGTAAGTTCTTAGAAGATTGAAGAGGATGAATATGAGATGTTTCTGGAGAAGATGAACAAATCCTTGCTGAAAGGAGGGGTTAGGAGGCAGTGGAGCAGGCCCTGCCAATGGAAGATACTGACTGGTGTTCTGTTGGAACACCTTGAGGAAGCAGCATGGCTCCAGGGAACTTTTTCAAACCAAACTTCAGGCAAAATCACCTCAGCTGCTTTCAGCACACCCATTTCACTGGTCATATCCCAGTTTTCATCATCCAGCAACCCTGCTTGCAGAGGTTCCTGGCTTGTCAGTCTCTCAGCTAAGGCAATTACAGCTGCAGCTTGAGACTTCCTTTCTCTACAATCAGTGCAGTGGTGGTCAGCACTTCTTCCCCTTAGTGTGAGGGCTCATTATCTCCCCTCTTCAGGCCCAGAGCTTTCACTGGGTCCAGCTATTTACAGACCCTGTGGTCCCTTCCTCCCTGTGTTTCCTTTCTATCCTACCAGCTGGAAGTCTTCTTCCAGGTCCTGTACTCTGCCCCGTTGACTTCACTACCTCTTTCCTTCCCAAGTCTATTGTTCCTGCTTTCGGCAGGAGGCTGACACCAAAACAGTCACTGCCCCCAGCTGTGACCACACTAGCCCTTTCTCTCAAATTCTCTGCAGGGCTTCCCCACAGGTGCCACACAGTTCCTAAGGAATGCTGTATCCACAATCCTATAGATCTTTGTCTCACCGGTGGCCCTGCATCCTCTCTCCACATTGTGGCCACCTGCAGAGCTGAAGCACTGCTACCTACTCCTTCTCCACCCAAAATCCCATAATAACCTGCTTGACAGTGGTGATTGCACTCTGTGATAATTGTATGTTTTCAAAAGAGCTTCATAGCAAACCAGCAGCTTTCTCATCTTGTCTCGCTTACCTTCTCTTTTCCTTAGCTCTGCCTGTCCGGCTTTCAAGGGTCACAGTCTTCTGCTTTAGGCATGCTCCCTATGCTGCTTGTAGGGGCTGCAGGCAACTAGTCCCTGTACTAGAGGGGTTCAGTTTACAAAACTCTGGAGAGCAGGGTGATCTGCAGGGAAGAGAGTTTACATGTCCCCTGGAAAACTTGGAAGTTCATGTCTGACAGGAGAACAGCCCAGTCAGCTCTGACCTCAAGCAAGTCAGTGCCTGTGCTGTGAACTGCCC